TGATTACTGTGGTGCGCCCCTTGTCCGCTGGTATTATGATAATATCTTCCCTATTTCTGAGTTCTTTCAAGGCCTTTTGTTCTTGTGGAGTCAGTTGGTTGTTTTCTTTCACCTGTTGAGTTATCGGTACTATGGCTTGCCTTATTTCCTGTTGTGTTTCTTCACTGATTCCGGAAGTTTTGAGTGATGACTCTAGTGCTGCGAAGAACTCCAGCTTTGAGGCGTCGCCTGTATTGTAGTTTAATCCTTTCTGGAGCAGGTGTTCTTCCGTATTTGTTAGTGGTTGTTTTGACAGATTGATCACGCAGTTGTTTGTGTTTTCTTCCATGGGTGGTTTTGAGATCTTGATTAGTTTTTTCTCTAAGGTGTTTCTTCTTTGTTCTCTATGTCGTTTGCATGATATCTCGATGGCTGTTGTCACGATTTCCAAATGTTCTGATGTGAGCATCCTTTGTAGCTTTGTCTTTTGGTCCTCTGTGACGTGTTGGTATTTGCAGATCTTGTAATGTGCATCCGTTATGGTATGACCTAGATACTTGATATAATTAGATTGAAACTGACACTAGGATAGATTAACGGCCACATTTGCATCACAAAAGCGCCTAAATAACTTTGAAGGATGCTTGTTGTGCAAATCAATATTGTCAGCATGATTTATGACATAATACTGATGCAATTCAATACCATCAAACTGGTGATTATTTGATTTATAATCCTCCGTCATATCTCGGACTAAGCATATAGTATGAACGGTAGGAATTTGCATCTGAACAGCCCGAATGATGTTTTAATAGCAGTTAGTTCGCTAGAGATTTCGTAGAGTGAATTCTGCATTTACGTACCTTTCAGGTCTGCTTTTGAAAAATACCATGACTCTCGTACTTTACATAAAATATCCTCAATTTCTTCACTGGCGCAGCTCTGCTGTGATAGCCGAGCATCTAGTGTCAAGTGGTTATCACCACATATTCTATGTGCTCTTTACATTCGCTTTCAATGAAGTCATAATGGGAGCAGCCCAACTAAACGACTCAGTTGGGGGTCATTATCCGTTCTTAACTAGTTTATCTAACTCACTCTTCACAGCATCTAATAAAACACATAAAATTAGCCGATACTTCAAGAAGACGAACTCTCTCCTTAATTCCAAGTGTGCTGCTTACATTTTGAAACCTCTCACGGTCTTTTACTAATGCAAGATTGGATCTCTGATTAAGGTACCATTAGGAGAACTGGTGCATAAAGAAATGCACACGTTTGGTATTCTGAGGCCTTTTAACCCAACAATGGATGGGTCGTACTCACTAACCAAAAAAGAAATACTCACACAAGCATCCTCTTCAGTCCTCAGCAAGATGAACGATTTGGACTTGGTTGTTTTAGTAATAAGGTTTTGAACGGGTGTAAAATACTTCTGTGGGCGGTAGTGTGCGACAACGAATTCACACTTAAGTCTAAATCAATTGGTTCTTACCTACAACTATTCAACGTCTTAGTAGAAGATGATTTAAAACATTTACAAAATTTCTGTACGTGTCCAATTATTCCGCATTCACGGATACGTGCACAACGAGATTGACATGAATTACGAATATGCAATTTACCACATGAAAGACAGGATTTACTGTTCTTTATTACTAAATTCTCTTATACGGAGCCACTGACTTCATTTCACTCTAACAAGAGATAATAGGAAATGAATCTAATTTATTGTACCTCTGTCTGTTCTACTACACAATGTTAAGCAACGTTTGGCGTTCATATCCAAGTGCCTTGCTGCTCTTCTGTGTCTCTTTTCTTCTTCACAATCTTGCTCTGAGAGTACAGCTATGAAACTGCTGACGTCTGGAACAAACTTGACGTATGCGTTTCCTCAAGGTCATAGTTTCCTGCAAGCGCTCTACGAGTCTACTTTATAACAACTATAAACTTAATAAGTTGGGAAGCATGTTGTGCACCAACAAATGTTGTAATTTATAGATCATGCATGTAAAAGTGGCGTGTACCTGCACATGCAGAAATATATTATCATTATTATTAAAGTCGGATTAAAAGTGGTTTTCGCGTTATTCGCTTGTCTGAATGAATTGAAACGATTACTGTTTGAAGAAATTAAAGGTTTATTTCATGTTTGATAACAAGATATCATTTTGTTGCGTACCAGCACCAAAAGGGTTACTATTAATAAGCTCAAAGGTAAAACAGAAATATGTAGCTGTCTGGAAAGTACAGGGAATAATTTGTTTAGGCTGGTTTCTTAGCTTCCAGCACTTTATAACAGCAGTCAGTAGATCGTAGCGCCATATGTGCAGCTTTTCACCAAAATCCAAACCAAAAGCTTAAAACTCAAGCCATAACGTGAAAGTTCCCATAGTTCGACAAGGGACTCAGACTGATTCGTTGACCTGTGCTCTTTCAAGAGTTTCAGAACGACCGCTTAGCAATCTCTTTAGTTTGTTGGATGAGAGTAGAATCGGATTATCAGGAAATGCATAATCTTTTGACAAGCTACAGGTTTCTCTACCAATAAAAGTCATTAAAATGAACTGAAATTCTGTCTTCCCTGAAGTCATATGGCTGACACTAGGTGACAAGATATTCTGAAAAAATTTTCATTTTCAGCGACGATCGGCGATTTTCTCAAGTTTTTTGGGTTCATTAGTGTCACGACGCTGGATATGAGTGTGAAACTTATCAACAAAGTACTCCTAATCCCAATAAGTACAGAAATTTGATGAGACACAAGCAACAACCGGTAATAGGAGTACACAGTGTGAAACTGCAATATGTCGTTAAAACAGATTAAAACACAAAATAAAACATTTGACTGCATGGTAAGTGCACTCATCATTCACCACAAATGTTGTGGCCAAAACGTCCCACATGCTTGGAAGAAGAGAGATTGTGAAGGTTGAGGTTCCTAAAATAAGGGCATTTTTACGCTCATTAAAAGAAGTGTGAACCGTTTTGAAATGATATGGACAATCTACAACACAAAAGCATCCTTTCAGTGCTCTTAGTTTTGTTGGAGCTAAACGGTCTAAGTCCGGAGTCCTCATTTCTGTTCTCAACGCAAGAATCGGGCCATGCATCATATTTGAGTAGGCTTTTGCTTGATCAACAAGCGGTGGGTCATTTTTGTTGACTCCATCGTTTGCGACTGTCTGTCTTCTCAGGTTTTATTACCATTCTTTGCCCTCCCCATCCTTATTGATTTACTATTTTGGTCAAACTCTAACAATATGGCTCGTTCACCTTTTTTAAAGGCTAATCAATTTGAAACATAATCATTTGCCGATTGATTCAGATGCCAAACATACCAAAATCTCTACCACTCACAGAAATACATCGACCTTAAGTTTTGACATTTGTGCAAGCGAATTCGTAGCCGTGGTTATCTATGTACAATAATTTCTCTGTGATACGGAGTTTGAGCGAGGTGTGGTAGTTATGTAGTGGATTGGGCTCTAATACGAGACAGTGTGGGAAATTGACATTTAGCATTCAACACGGAGAAAAACCAAACGATGAAGAGGGCGGAAAGAATGAATCGAATTTAATTGGAGTTGATCGGATGGCATGGCTCGGCCATGCAGGCATGGTGCCTGCGGAATGTTACCTTATATATTTTATTCATATTAAATACATTGTTCTTTCTCTAGCCTAAGCTCGTTCTCCATCATGTATTGGTAATTGTTACGATACAGTGAGTTGGTGTAGACAATGATGTGGCTTCCACGTAAAATCTTATAGATTAGACAGTTATATCATGACGAATCTACAGTTTTAGGATTAGGTCTATTATTAGAGCAGTGCTAATATCATAGTAGACCACAGTTCTACAGTTACTAACACGTTCGCCGCTACAGAAAGTGGATGTTAATGATAATTTCAGGAATGTCAGTACTGATATCACTCCCTAACCACACGATCCTTGAAGCTGAACATTCAGTGACTTAGAGGATCTATAATAGTCCGTGAACACTTATAGAAGGTCGGAGAAGGTGAACGCAGGAGCAATTAATCGTGAAAGCATGGCTTGGCCATGCAGGCTCAGTCACTCTGTGTAACGTCAAGGTCATTGTATCAAGTGTATTATTCTATTTCCAACCCAAAGGTTTTCTTCAAATGTTGTTGACTTTCTCGACGGGACACGTCAGTACAGACAACTATGTGACTTCTACGTACGATGTTGTTGACTAAGCAGGCACGTCACGCTAAACTAGATCTGTACCCTATTGCGATAGATAAGTGCACCAGTAGCCATTCTAGACCTAGGTTCTACAGCTTCAGTGATATCAAATATCTTGTGAAGTCACATTCAGACTTGAAAACGTTTGGTTCGTTTCAAAGACTATCAGAGAACAATCATTAAACTTGAAAGAACCCATTAGGGCGGCTATTTGTGTTAAAACATCGGGTCGTAAAGTACACATGAAATACCATCTCATTGCTTCAATTGACGTTATTTCTCCACTACACGTGTAAATTTTGCGTTTACTTCTTCATATATCTTGACTGCGTTTGATTAGTGTAATAGCTGTTTAGTGACATGACCATATTCGATTCTGCAACCTTATTATCTTGAAACTAATCATCGACACGTCCCGGAAATACATGGGATGTGATTTATGCACAGAGCAAAGAAGGATGGCACAACATATTGTTCCACTCAGAAAGACGAATAAATAGCCCACATTAGCTCAATCGAAAGATATTGGCAATTGAAGCAGCTCGGCTTATTGAATTGATATACAGTCCTCACCAGACGATAATGTGTTAATTTAGGCATGTAAATATTTATAACTTAAACTCAACTTCTTTTAGTTATATATCAAGTATGCTTTGGTGCCCGTTTTCTATTCAGTGTTTTGTTATTCTAAAATGATATTTGGTGAAGGCCGTCGAGTACCGTGTTTCTAAATTTGAATTCGACTCTGTCGCGGATTCGTAATAGTCCAATTGCATCCATCAGAGTATTTGAAAATCGTGTAAAACGTATGAATCCTAGTGGACATATAGTTGTCATCCGTAGGGATGGTACTGATGGTTTAACTTGCGATTGGTGTTCGCCCTTGTGTGATATTGGGAGGTAAATAATATATTCACTTGCAACCTCATTTCGCAGTAACCAGTCTTGTGACATTCGTGTGCAACACTCAACAGTCGCTCCATTTCATTGTACCCTGCAACTACTGAAAGATGGGTTAGTTCAAGCCGTCAGCAGAGTAGATGGACGATACAAAATGTTAGTTAATAATTTCCCGTTGAACGATGCTTGCGTTTTGACTGATAATTGCATACTAACTGTTGGGGATCGTCAGTTTCGCTTTTTCTATCCATCAGTGAGTCTGTTTGGTTAAAAATGAATTAAATTATTATGTTCGTAATAGTTTTAGCATCATATGCCCTTTATACTACCGTAGATAATAGGATGATTCCCATCCATTTGTTATTTCCTGGCCATTTGTTGTACACTAGTAACTCATCTGGTGCAGCAGTTTTATAGACAAACCGTCTTTATAAGTGTTTGATATTGATTCTGGTTTGGCTCATTTATCTTCTCTCATAAATGGTGCATATTTAGTTATTTGAAGAACTTATCTGAGGTTTTTGACTACCTAAATGGTCCTAAAATCCCTAGATTATTGAGAAACCTCGTGCATGTACATTCTGTTTTAGACATTAGTCCTACTATACATGCGTCCATTAGCATTATTCAATGCGTTTTGTATCATACCTAAGTGTTTCAGTCTGACTAATTTCCGATAAGTCCAATAAACTCGGCTACTAATCCCGTTGAATTTAGCGGTAAAACCAACTGTACAGTTGGATTTTCAGTTTAAATATTCTGTTAGTATAAGGCCTAGCATCAGCGTATCAACCCATTACTATATCTCATAACAGCACAGGGAATAGTGAACATCGGGAACAAAGCGGTAACAGTAAGTGGCGAAAACTAAAGTCTTCTTCGAAATAAACTTGTAAATCTAGAGGATGAAAGTAAGAAAACGCTTCTAAATTAAGAGTAAGGGTAGCCGAAAACGATATATCTACTCAGCCTTGATGGATTTCAAGTTGTTATCAAGAGCCAGTATGAGTCAGGTTTATCGCACACATCAGCCTCAAACTCCACACTTACCGACACCGCCCACCCCACAGTCCTTCCACCGTCGTCCAACTTGGTCGTGTGCTAGCCATTAGCAAATAAGTGTGTGCGACATAACGTCTTAGCTAAATAAGTGTCGTTTCATCTATGTAATAGTTATGAGTTTTGTCGGTTAGGTGCCTTGATCTTGTTTTGCCCACAGCAGTTGTTTACAGAAGTACTGTACTGTTTCATGTAAATACAATTTGAAATAAAACAAACTTGTCAAAACATATATGTTTTATTAACAAACGGTAAAGATAATTTAACCTAATAAGGGAAAAATTCAAAGATGAAATATAAGAATTAAGAAGACTTAACTACATTCGTGGTAAAACTTCACTTAATCAGTTGACAAACAATGTTCATAGGTATAGCATGAGCTTTGCACATTCTAAATGCAAAGTACTTTTCCAAGACTCACATGACGCTGGATCTGCACTCATTCTTGGCGGTGAGTAGATAAAAGACTTATTTATTTGAACACAAACATTAGTACAACGGGGCGCCAAATGCATTTGCGCCACACAATAACAATGTTTGTAATGAGATAATGTAAGTGCGTATAATAATAACGACAACAACGAACAGAAATTAGTGTGGACGTGAAATAATAGTAATAGCAAAAACAGAACCAGAAAGAATTTAAGTTAAGGAAGGTACATTCACTTTTATGAAGAACGATACAGCAGGATCTCTTCTGACTTCGATTCTGAGTCATGCTTGATAACGTCTCTAGCCACAGGGCTGCATCATATTTAGGACCCCAACCAGGGAATCGTGAATGGCCAACAGAGGCCAGTTCTATTCAGCTTTCTTTCATACAACGACCACCCGCTTTTTTCAAGCAGTCCCAGTGTTGCCAAATACTCCACAACGTGGAAATCGCTGAGACAATATTCATAAAACGTGTCCAAGCCGCAGAAGTCGATGTTCCAAGATGGTGTACTTGGATACACAATGCCGAACTTCTGCATTACTAACATGATTTCGCTACTGGATGTCAGCAATCCTTCGCAGACAACGATGATCACAGAGTCGTCTACCATCATCGACTCGGAGAGGCCAGGTTTCACAAGCATACGGCAAAACTGCACTCACCAACGCATTGTAGATCCGACATTTTACAGCCAGACTAATGACGGAGCCAACGATAGCCCAGATTGGCATTAGCCGCTCTGGCTTTCACTATACGTGAATTATTCTCATCACTCAAGCCATCACCAGCATTTAGTCAGTTACCCAGATACACGAACTTCCCGACTACTTCTGTCTGCTAACGATCCAAGATGAGTGCAGCTTCAGGGTCCTGATAGTCTTGTGAAAGTACTTTGCACTTCGAATGTGCGAAACACAGACCATACCTACGGACACTGATTGCCAACTGATTAAGTGCGGAGTGTATGGTTTGGGTATCATCACACACGGGATTTGAATCGACCATTGCATCTCTGTGCTAAGGTGGTGTGGTAACTCGAACTGATGTACGTACGTACGAAGTTCTACGTTGTGACTGACTGACTGACTGACTGACAAACACCATGATATCTCTTCACTTATATCAATACACGTGGATAACTACGGACACTCATTCGATTGGGAAAATGTAGAAATCTTAGACAGAGGAAACTCCAAAAACACCAGAGAATTTTTAGAAGCCTGGCACTCAGGTCAATCAGCAATCAACAAACATATTGAAATCAATCCAATTTATCAACCAATCAGAAAAATCATGCATAAATATAGGAACAAAAATCAAACCAATGGGAGACACAACCAAAACAAAGAAGTAAACAATGATAAATTTAAGGCCAACAAGAGCCAATCAACATCGAGGTGCACAGAACAAGCTGTGAAACACATATGGAGAAATTTGAACACTTCACTTCTATCTGAAGTTTGTGCTGATGATGTCGTTCAGAAGAACGATGAAAGCTCCACGACCAAACCATCCAGCTCAGAGAACAAAACTCCACCAAAATTACGATTGTTGACCTGTGATAAGTTTGGCGGTGTTTTAACATTTGCGGAGGGTGAAGATATGATCAATACATCCTCGATCAGAACAAAAACCAGCCTGCTCTTGGAAAGTCAATCTCGGGGTTTGAATGATCTACGAAGTATGACGGAAGTCATCAGTTCGGATGCGATCGGAAGTAGACTTATCCGCCGAAAATTGTTGCATAGATTATATGGATCATTTTTAAAGGTAGGAGCAACTATAAACTCGTCCCACAATATTGGAACAGTCTAACTGCCTGACATTTGTAAACGACTCAGTCCCTTAACCAGGTCTCCACCATTTTTGAAAAGTTAAGTCATCTAGGCCTTGTGATTTGTGGAGATTCAAAAGTTGGATTTCCTTGCGGACTTTTGCCTCGTTAGGCGGGTCAGTCGTCACCGGCCATGAAGGACAAGATAATCTGACCAATGTCCCTGGGGCAACTTACTGATAGAACTATCCCTCGGAAAACTCTGTCCGTTTTCCAAGGCGTCGGTAGATGTTATTAATTGGTATCCTTTTACCTTCACAGATTATTTCACTCACACCAAACGTCTTGCTGCCATTAACTCGGATAAGTTGAAAGATCTTCCGGTAGTTACCAGATGTAGCTGCTGCTTCTAACTCGTTAGCACACTCCGACCACCAAGCTTCTCGGTCAATACACAAACTTTGCACAATTTCGTTGCGTAACTATCTTCGTTTATGTTCAAACTCGCTGTGGACGTAGTTGAATAACTTGTTTCAACGATTTGTAAGGAGTCTGTAAAATCTCAGTGCTTACAAGCGGGATGTTTGTCGAAACGGCAAGCAACTTTACTCGCCATTTTCACGGCGTGATGTAAATGCGACAAATGCTCATCTATACTTCTCAGTGAATTGACAGCTAACCTTAAACCTGGCTCCGTTTGATATTTAGTTACAACAGAAGTTGCAATCAATTTTCTTACATCAATCCGTTCAGGTTGATGAATTTGTTGATCACGGAAACGTAGGATAAGATAAGCACAGACCAGGACATCGTCGGAATCCAGATAAGTAATCCAAAAGGAGCGGCAGTCTATTACATAACCACGCCAGCGGTAACTGATAGCGATGTGATCAATGTTTATTTTATTGTTTATTTTAACACATAGATATTGGTACAAGGAGGCACCAAATACATATGCGCCACATAAATCATTCGATTTGTGTGAGGGCTGTGATACTGCCGGGTGCCCAGACCGGAGCAAGTGGTTTACTTAGGGGGCCACACCCCGAACCTTCGACCTGAAGGTCTGATCCACAAGGCAGTGGAGCAACATAAGGAGATGCAACCCCATGGCAGCTGGTGACCAACATTTGGTTCATACGCCATTTGTTCCCGCAGGACGCTGGAACCCATGTGCACCAGTGGTTTGGAATCTGGTTAGGGCACCGGACATTCCCTTTTCGTCCTCACATTTTCGTAAACAACACCCCCGCCACGAGAAGGCAGTGAGTAGGACTTCCCTGGCAGAGACTATATACGCGGGGCCATGTGAAAGCATTTCGAGAGGGAGAGCGGACTCTCCCCACTCTCGGCCATATCAGGGCATTTGTGGGCAATCTGTGCTCCGAGTCCAGGCTTGAGATGTAGATGGATGACGCTAGGTTTCACATCAAGGATGACTGTGCCGATAGTTGGTGCTAGACAGAAACAGGTTGTAGTCTGAAAAGATTTGCAGTAGACGGTACCGTTATCTGACCTGAGACCTGCAAGCCCCCATCTGCCACCCGAACGTTCCTCCTCTATGTCTAGACGCCTAATCTGTGCATTCAGGTCTCTGGCTAGTACTACAATACCTGTCGAACGCGTTTTATGTAGAAAAACATTTAACTGGTAATCAAATTCATTCTTGATCGCATCTGAGCTGAAATCTGTCGGAGAGTAGGCGGAAATGACGAAAAAGCATGGTTTCTCACACCAATATCTCACTTTGATGGAAATTCTTAGTCTAACAGCACAAAACCGACTGTTAATGGGGACCCAATCAACTGGCAATGCATCAGCTTCAGCACTTAATGCGATACCAACGCCAGCAAAGCCAAACCATAGAGTTCCTGGATAAACGCATGTGTTTGGGCACAACGACGATAATTCAATTAGTGTCACCATCTTGGGACACCAACTTCGGTGGCTTGGGCATATAGTACTAATGTCGTCTCAGAGAATTCCATATCGCGCATTTTTTCTCCAGAGGCTGAGACTAGTTGTAAAAAAAGGTGGTCGATGTACGACATTGTGTCGTGGTATGAAAGAAATCTGTATAGGGCTGGCCTCTGTTGGTCCTTCACGATTCCCTGGTTGGGGCTTTAGACATGACTCAGAACAGAAGCCGGTGGCGATCCTGTTGTAATATTCTTTCGCTGTATTTGAGACGAACTTGAATTGAGAGAATTCTTTCTGGTTTCATTTTTCTTAACTGAATTGCTCCCATCATTTTTTTCTCTTACACTGATTCCTATTCATTTTTCCATTATGCTCACTCTTTTTTCTCTATCTCTTCACAAATTTGTTTCCTTACTGTTTGGCGCATGTAAAGTATCGTGTCCCTTTGTACCAATATTTACGTTTAAATAAATAAAGTAAATTGATTATATATATATATATATATATATATATATATATATATATATATATATCAGAATGGGTTTTGTAGAGATTCTAGAAATTTCACAGATTGAAATCATGAGTCAATTGAAGCTAGAACACCATGGAAAACCTGGAAGCATTGGCCGGCCGTTTCGTCTTAGTATGGGACTCCTCAGCAATGCGCATCTACGGTCCCGCACCCCGCGAGATTCGAGCCCAGGTCCTATCAGTCTCGCGCCAGGCGCTTAACCAACTAGACCACTGAGCCGGCATCCAATGGTGTTAATGTCTAACTTCAACCAATCCACGAAGTTGCGCCACCGTACACCATTGTTTTTAGTGAGTTCCTATCTCACAACAGACCTGGTTGAACTCCACTGGTAACGACTTCTCATTAGAACTCCAGGAGTATCTCTTGAAGTCAGCCACTAATGAGCAGATGTTTATTATCAGAATGGGTTTTGTGGAGATTTTAGAAATTTCACAGATTGAAGTTAGACATTAACACCGTTGGATGCCGGCTCAGTGGTCTAGTTGGTTAAGCGCCTGGCGCGAGACTGATAGGGCCTGGGTTCGAGTCTCGCGAGGTGCAGGTTCATGGATGCGCACTTCTGAAGAGCCCCATACTGGGACGAAACGGTCGTCCAGTGCTTCCAGGTTTTTCATTATGTTTTAGCTTCAATTGACTCATGATTTCAATCTGTGATATATATGTATAATTCTTTTACTCTGGTCTTACCATGTGTTTATGATTCACAGTGGAGTTTGGCGAATGCACTTATGCTTAACGAATTCGGAAGTAATTCGCTTATGCCGAAATGTAATTCCTGAATGATGTAATTGTTTAGTCTAGTTCTATGTGGATAGTAACATTTCATGATACTTATTGGAAAAATACATGCAATACTTTATGGAGTGTTGAGTGTTCTCAGTTTCAAAAGGCACGACTTGGTTCTAAATAGCAAAGGCTAAATAGACTATAATGTAATATATAGCTTGTAGACTCACAAACTGTTTAAGACTTAAAATGGTGTAATATCCCCGAGTAGTTTTCTCGAAATAGCGAATCTCTGTGACATTAAAAAACATGTCACAGTTGTACAAATAATTCCAATTTTCTAAGTTATACACCTGGTTTAATACTTCACTCATTTGCTGACTTGTTTATAATTTTGATTAAACACATTAGTTTCTCTTCAGTGTAGTATAGTGACCTTTCAGATAAGCACATCAAAATACGTAAACTTATTTTGGAGAGTTGATTCTTAAAACGTGTAAATAAAATTTAACGGCACATTTCTAGTTACGGAAGTTGTGGTTTTCAATCACATCATTTATCTGAATCCTACCCTGCGATACAGGGTTCAGACAAGTTGACAATTTGATTAACTGTCATTATGACTTGTGGAAATAACTGTTAAATACAGCAGTCTAATTGGTAGCAAGTTTGTGTTACTCTTTCAACCTTGTGAAATAAGCAAATTTAGTTTATGTACATGAGTAACAAACTTTCACCTAGTTAACATGTTTTTATGGAAGTTTCCTCTCATTCGGGAAGTAATAATAACAAAAATATTCTTGCTAATATAGTAATATAATATGTGCGTTGCAATTTGTTTACCCTAATTTCAGAGTCGAAAGACAACAACAGATAATTATTTATACGAAACGTCCAGTAAAACACCAAAACACTATAACAAAGAAGAGGTTATAACTCCAACTTCTCTACCTGTTGTTCATCCATCCAAACGTACCACTCCTAGAAAGATATTAGTTAATCCTAAAACTCGCTCCCCTCGACAGAGGTCTGTGACTCCGAAAAGAACCCTAGGGACCAACGAACGTTATGGTCCAGTTCCTCCTCGTCAACCAGCTACCCCACCAATAATCCAAGTACTCCGACACGAACCGAATTCATCACAGTCAAAGCAGCTACCTGTATTGCAAGCAGAGAATGTCGAGTTTAATAAAAAAAGTGTAGGTGATGGTAAGGGTTATAGCTGTACAGATGTGAGTGTTTCTAAATCAAATCAAACAAAGTCGTCTGTCGTTCCTGACTTGCCAGATCCAACATTCCATCCCTCGAGCAGTGTTTTGTCATCTATCAAAGTGAGGTCACAAAACCGTATTCACACTCCGATTATTACATCTAGTTTATCTAATGATCACTTCAACTTCACACCAAACGAAAATAAACGTTCACCCGGTTTTAGAAAGAGTTTCCATAAGCTTCTCATCTTAAATGAATCATCTAACCAATCCAACCTTTGCAAAATTAATCAGTTTTATGATGAATTAAGTTATGTAAAGCAGCAGGTGATTGAAAGCAAGAGATCACCATCTGATGAACAAGAAAACCAATCTTGTTACGATAAATGCCTTGATCATCCCACAGAAGGTTCCCGTGAATATATTCCAGAGTTGCCCACATCACCGAATTCCCTGAGGATTGCGAGGAAATTGTCTGCAAAGTCATCGCAGAAAATTAGCATAGCATATTCACCAGAAACAGAACAAGAATTGATTAGCCGTAATAGAAAACGTACCATATCCGGTAAAACTTATCCAGTTGCAGAGGACATGCTTGCTCCTAAACGTCGGAGGGGGGTTTCATTCGGCCCACCCTTAAGCCCTGAACGATTTGATAAATCTCTTCCCCCGTCTACTCCGGTTAAGCGAGGTGGAACTCCACTAGTCAAAATAAGTCACAGTACCCCAGCAAACCATAGTTTACAAGTCACTTCAGTTGTTGGGCACTCAGCTACACCATTTGATTCCAAATTGTCAGAAGTATCGCATTTATCAGATTTCTCAAAAACATGTGAATCTCCAAAATACAGTGTAACACACAATCGAGTTTCTGCAGTCATCTCTCTCCCTCCAACACCAGACACTAATCTTCTAAATTCCTTGAGTACTGATATTAGTTGTGCTCATGAAAGTTTCGCTAATTTCCCAGTGACTTCCGCAACTTACTCTGCTCCAATAAAAAAATCTTCAGTCAGCCGAAAAAATTTCAAAAGACATTCACTTGGGTTCCTAGAGAAAACAAGTAAAACACCGTCACCGAGAGTCCCACCAACTAGTCCTGTATCAACCAAACAAAATAAAAACAAACCAACAAACGAACATAATGCTAAAATTCAGGAAAAAAAGTCAAAAAGCTTCCATACCTACGGTGCAAAAACCTATAATAATAACAACTACAACAAACTATACTCCAGTGTTCCTCATAGTCTGCTAAAAATTACCCAGGAAGACAAACAACATAAAGGAACACCTTCAGTGCCATCGACCAACTTGACAGAGGAGGAAGCAGTTACACCTGAGAAGAGTTTGTTGTCTCCACGAAAGGAATCTGGTTTGACTGGTATCAGGAGGTTGATGAGAACTCCGAAGCCTGTACAAACACCTCGTATATCTGGTGTTAGTGAACTGTTTGTCGATGAACCTAGTGTGAAGAGACGTCGTAGTCGACCCTCATCAGTGCCACCGACCAACTTGACAGAGGAGGAAGCAGTTACACCTGAGAAGAGTTTGTTGTCTCCACGAAAGGAATCTGGTTTGACTGGTATCAGGAGGTTGATGAGAACTCCGAAGCCTGTACAAACACCTCGTATATCTGGTGTTAGTGAACTGTTTGTCGATGAACCTAGTGTGAAGAGACGTCGTGGTCGACCCTCATCAGTGCCGCCGACCAACTTGACAGAGGAGGAAGCAGTTACACCTGAGAAGAGTTTGTTGTCTCCACGAAAGGAATCTGGTTTGACTGGTATCAGGAGGTTGATGAGAACTCCGAAGCCTGTACAAACACCTCGTATATCTGGTGTTAGTGAACTGTTTGTCGATGAACCTAGTGTGAAGAGACGTCGTGGTCGACCCTCATCAGTGCCACCGACCAACTTGACAGAGGAGGAAGCAGTTACACCTGAGAAGAGTTTGTTGTCTCCACGAAAGGAATCTGGTTTGACTGGTATCAGGAGGTTGATGAGAACTCCGAAGCCTGTACAAACACCTCGTATATCTGGTGTTAGTGAACTGTTTGTCGATGAACCTAGTGTGAAGAGACGTCGTGGTCGACCCTCATCAGTGCCACCGACCAACTTGACAGAGGAGGAAGCAGTTACACCTGAGAAGAGTTTGTTGTCTCCACGAAAGGAATCTGGTTTGACTGGTATCAGGAGGTTGATGAGAACTCCGAAGCCTGTACAAACACCTCGTATATCTGGTGTTAGTGAACTGTTTGTCGATGAACCTAGTGTGAAGAGACGTCGTGGTCGACCCTCATCAGTGCCACCGACCAACTTGACAGAGGAGGAAGCAGTTACACCTGAGAAGAGTTTGTTGTCTCCACGAAAGGAATCTGGTTTGACTGGTATCAGGAGGTTGATGAGAACTCCGAAGCCTGTACAAACACCTCGTATATCTGGTGTTAGTGAACTGTTTGTCGATGAACCTAGTGTGAAGAGACGTCGTGGTCGACCCTCATCAGTGCCACCGACTAACCTGACAGAGGAGGAAGCAGTTACACCTGAGAAGAGTTTGTTGTCTCCACGAAAGGAATCTGGTTTGACTGGTATCAGGAGGTTGATGAGAACTCCGAAGCCTGTACAAACACCTCGTATATCTGGTGTTAGTGAACTGTTTGTCGATGAACCTAGTGTGAAGAGACGTCGTGGTCGACCCTCATCAGTGCCGCCGACCAACTTGACAGAGGAGGAAGCAGTTACACCTGAGAAGAGTTTGTTGTCTCCACGAAAGGAATCTGGTTTGACTGGTATCAGGAGGTTGATGAGAACTCCGAAGCCTGTACAAACACCTCGTATATCTGGTGTTAGTGAACTGTTTGTCGATGAACCTAGTGTGAAGAGACGTCGTGGTCGACCCTCATCAGTGCCACCGACCAACTTGACAGAGGAGGAAGCAGTTACACCTGAGAAGAGTTTGTTGTCTCCACGAAAGGAATCTGGTTTGACTGGTATCAGGAGGTTGATGAGAACTCCGAAGCCTGTACAAACACCTCGTATATCTGGTGTTAGTGAACTGTTTGTCGATGAACCTAGTGTGAAGAGACGTCGTGGTCGACCCTCATCAGTGCCACCGACCAACTTGACAGAGGAGGAAGCAGTTACACCTGAGAAGAGTTTGTTGTCTCCACGAAAGGAATCTGGTTTGACTGGTATCAGGAGGTTGATGAGAACTCCGAAGCCTGTACAAACACCTCGTATATCTGGTGTTAGTGAACTGTTTGTCGATGAACCTAGTGTGAAGAGACGTCGTGGTCGACCCTCATCAGTGCCACCGACCAACTTGACAGAGGAGGAAGCAGTTACACCTGAGAAGAGTTTGTTGTCTCCACGAAAGGAATCTGGTTTGACTGGTATCAGGAGGTTGATGAGAACTCCGAAGCCTGTACAAACACCTCGTATATCTGGTGTTAGTGAACTGTTTGTCGATGAACCTAGTGTGAAGAGACGTCGTAGTCGACCCTCATCAGTGCCGCCGACCAACTTGACAGAGGAGGAAGCAGTTACACCTGAGAAGAGTTTGTTGTCTCCACGAAAGGAATCTGGTTTGACTGGTATCAGGAGGTTGATGAGAACTCCGAAGCCTGTACAAACACCTCGTATATCTGGTGTTAGTGAACTGTTTGTCGATGAACCTAGTGTGAAGAGACGTCGTGGTCGACCCTCATCAGTGCCACCGACCAACTTGACAGAGGAGGAAGCAGTTACACCTGAGAAGAGTTTGTTGTCTCCGCGAAAGGAATCTGGTTTGACTGGTATCAGGAGGTTGATGAGAACTCCGAAGCCTGTACAAACACCTCGTATATCTGGTGTTAGTGAACTGTTTGTCGATGAACCTAGTGTGAAGAGACGTCGTAGTCGACCCTCATCAGTGCCACCGACCAACTTGACAGAGGAGGAAGCAGTTACACCTGAGAAGAGTTTGTTGTCTCCACGAAAGGAATCTGGTTTGACTGATATCAGGAGGTTGATGAGAACTCCGAAGCCTGTACAAACACCTCGTATATCTGGTGTTAGTGAACTGTTTGTCGATGAACCTAGTGTGAAGAGACGTCGTGGTCGACCCTCATCAGTGCCGCCGACCAACTTGACAGAGGAGGAAGCAGTTACACCTGAGAAGAGTTTGTTGTCTCCACGAAAGGAATCTGGTTTGACTGGTATCAGGAGGTTGATGAGAACTCCGAAGCCTGTACAAACACCTCGTATATCTGGTGTTAGTGAACTGTTTGTCGATGAACCTAGTGTGAAGAGACGTCGTGGTCGACCCTCATCAGTGCCGCCGACCAACTTGACAGAGGAGGAAGCAGTTACACCTGAGAAGAGTTTGTTGTCTCCACGAAAGGAATCTGGTTTGACTGGTATCAGGAGGTTGATGAGAACTCCGAAGCCTGTACAAACACCTCGTATATCTGGTGTTAGTGAACTGTTTGTCGATGAACCTAGTGTGAAGAGACGTCGTGGTCGACCCTCATCAGTGCCACCGACTAACCTGACAGAGGAGGAAGCAGTTACACCTGAGAAGAGTTTGTTGTCTCCACGAAAGGAATCTGGTTTGACTGGTATCAGGAGGTTGATGAGAACTCCGAAGCCTGTACAAACACCTCGTATATCTGGTGTTAGTGAACTGTTTGTCGATGAACCTAGTGTGAAGAGACGTCGTGGTCGACCCTCATCAGTGCCGCCGACCAACTTGACAGAGGAGGAAGCAGTTACACCTGAGAAGAGTTTGTTGTCTCCACGAAAGGAATCTGGTTTGACTGGTATCAGGAGGTTGATGAGAACTCCGAAGCCTGTACAAACACCTCGTATATCTGGTGTTAGTGAACTGTTTGTCGATGAACCTAGTGTGAAGAGACGTCGTGGTCGACCCTCATCAGTGCCGCCGACCAACTTGACAGAGGAGGAAGCAGTTACACCTGAGAAGAGTTTGTTGTCTCTACGAAAGGAATCTGGTTTGACTGGTATCAGGAGGTTGATGAGAACTCCGAAGCCTGTACAAACACCTCGTATATCTGGTGTTAGTGAACTGTTTGTCGAGAAACCTAGTGTTAAAGTGCATTGTAGTTCACAGAAACTATGTGGTGTTACTTCGTTGTCTCGTAGGCATTGTAAATCGTGTCGTTGTTTGCTCTCTGCATGTCAATGTGGTTTTGATTTTAATTACGTGGTTAACAAGTGTTCTATGAGAAAATCTTCTGACCTTGTCGTTGAGTCTCTTTCATCCATTCGTGCGCATCGTGTTGTTAAAATATTGAAGTCTTCAGTCGATAAATCTGCTAACTCTGATTGTTCTATTTTGAAAAAATTACCTGGAAAATTTACATCTCAATCGACTAATGAAGTCACCGTACAGCCGTCGAAAACTAGGTCAAAAACCAAGAGGAACGTTTCACAAAATCCTGATTCTCTTTCAGATCGTTCAATGAATGTAGTAAAGTCTCTGGATAAACGGATGTTGAAAGAACTCACTGAAGTGGTTGTTCCGTTCCCGAATAATGTGATGGAAAATCATTCTCGAAAAGGGAAGACTCTCGCATTTACATCTCGGTTGACTCTTAATGATATGTCAAATTCATGTGATAAATCTGCACTTTTGAAAATGGGTTTTATTGAGAACTCACATCCTACGGTATCCTTTAGCTCGAACACGTCTAAGGATCGTGAGTCTGATTCTGTTGTTCCTGTCGCAAGCCGTCTCCGTAATAAAAGGATCCCGTCAAGTATTGAATGTTTGTCACCTAGTCGTACTCGACGTGCAGTTAATGCACCGGACCCTTTGATCAGTGAATCTGCCACTAAAGGCAGTTCCGGTAAGAGTTCCGTGATGAAAACATCCTCTAGAAAAGTTGTATCTCAATCAAATAATGAGGTTGCCATACAACCGTCGAAAACTAGGTCAAAAACCAAGAAGAACGTTTCCACCATGGATTCGCAGTTTCCTGATTCTCTGCTCAATCATTCGGTCAATGCAACGAAGTCTGCAAACAACACCTCAAAAAGATCTATAAAGAGACTAGCTGAAGTGCGTAGAGTCTCTTCTAGTATTCCATTGGCCAAACGTCTACGGAGTAGAATTGATCAGTTGGATATTAAATGTATAACATCTGAACACACACAAAATGAAGAAAGATCTTTACCCGTGAAAAACCAATCTGGTGAGGAAAAGAAGAAAAATGGTGCCAAGAGAAATAATCCGCAAAACCGTAAACAGCTAATTACTTCAAAATCAAAACTACTTCCAACTACTTCATCTTCAAAATCTGCTTCAACTAATGAATCTAAAAATATTACAACATTGAAGGTTGGAACAAATTCACGACATATTAAACGCATTTCTGTTACGCCTGTTGATAATATAGCTAATGTTTCACCAAAAAGACGTGTTCTTCGTTCTCGTAAGTTAATAACTACTTCTTCAGAAATAAGTCAACCAATTGAAGAAAAAATATCAACTTCTAAAATCACTAATAAGTCGAAATTAAAGACCACTACTACTACTAATAATAATAATAGTAGATCAGTAGTATCGAAATCATCTCAAGCTAAACAATCACCAGTTTCAATTCGTCAAACTCGTTCAAGAAAAAAACAGACAGCAACAAACAATCTATAAAAATAAATAATACTTTTATTTATTCATTCATTCGTAAATAACCAACAAAAAAAGTTTACCTATTTTTAACACCTTTATGTATTTATGTTTAGTGTATTATTTATTCAAAGGAACAATCTATTATCCTTATTCCATTCAAAGAGTACCATATATATATATATATTTCACTTGTTGTTACCATAGTTACTATTAGTAGTAGTAATATTAATAGACTCTCTAGAGTAACAACATTTACCAATACGATTGAATACTAATGTTTATTAGTTAGTTAACTTATTCATTCATGGTTTTATGTTAATTCTTATTACAATATTACTGTAATTTATTTCGTTTTTATTATTTTTTTAGAATTAAATATCTATCTATCTATCTATCTATCTATATTTACTGTCCACTTAGGTTATGCTGTTAAAATTGATGTTGTATATAATCTATACATGTTTCTATTTATTATATATAATAGTTTAAGTGTATATTTGTTTTGTTATTGTTAATACAATATATCATAAATTGTCATTATTATTATTATTATTATTATTATTATGATTAATGTCAACTTTTATTTCTAATCATTTCTACGTTTATATTTTATTGTTGCATTCACTTTTGTTTTCTTCAAAAATGCTAAACGTCAAGCAATATATATATATATATGTATATGTATCTGTTGTATATTCAGTCAGTGTGCTGTTACGAGTATGAGGACTGGTGTCACTTCCCGGCTGCCCACACCGTGGAAGGGTATTTCTTGCGGGACCTGAAAAGGAAGTTGGATTAATGTTGGCCTTAACAACCTGGGAGCGTGACCGCAGAGCCTAAGAGACACCTGCTTGAGGCCGGTCATGCACGGTCTTTTTTGTGGGAGGTTTTTGACGTGTTAGCTCCGTTCTTGAAAGAACCTTACCGCCGGAGACGGAAATCCGTAAGGTGTGACATTTTTAGGGTCGACCTTTTCTAACCCCTTCCTTCCCTGTGAGAAGGCAGCATCGCTGCAGATGTTGGTTGTCCGAGGGAAACACCTTACTGATGTCACACCCCTCTACAGTCAGCAGTATGACTTCGCCTTCAGACCTTGAGTTTCTGCTTTTAGTCTTACCGTTCTCCAATCGACTTGCCTGGCATGGTAGAACCTACAGGAACATATGTTCCAGCCAATATAACTTGGTTGGGTCATCACGATAGGCAAGCCCGACCACCGCATCATGGTAGCAGCTACGGTCGGTATCTGTTGTTTATTGTTCATTATAAGGTCTAAGGGAATTTCATTTACAGGAAAAATGTTCAATCAAGTATTGTGTAGAGTACTTCAGTTAATTCATCTTTATAACCATGATATTAACACCGTTGGATACCGGCTCAGTAGTGGTCTAGAGGTTAAGCGTTCGCACACAAGACCGATAGGTCCTGGGCTCGAATCTCACAGGGTGGGATCGTGGATGTGCACTACTGAGGAGTCCCATAATAGGACGAAACGGCTATTTAGTGCTTCTAGATTTTCCATAGTGATCTAGATTCAATTGACTCATGATCTCAACTGTTGAAATTACTATAATATCCACAAAAATCCTTTTCTGACATAAGTTTTTATTATCTAGTAATTGTTCTGTTTATATAGTCTGAACAAGAAATCGCTATTGATAATTTACCTTTATGCGCTGGGATCTAACTGACCTAAAATGTGAATCGTAATTTTGAAGTGTTTATTGAACGATTTGTCAGGTATTTCCAAAAAAAATTTAATTCTAGGATTTTAGTTGTGTACTAAATAGAATAGATTATTAGACTAGAAATTATACTGTCATGTACTATAAGCCAGTTTCCTATAATTTGTAACATAGAAGTCATTAACGGTGAAATACAATAGCTGTGCGTTTTTTTATAATATTAGGCTGAGTTGTGTGAAGGAAGATTTAATTCTCTGTTTAGGACGTTTTCAGATATGCAGTTTTCAATATCAGTAAACAACTTCAGTTGAGATAACTATGCATCTTAAGATTTGCAACAACTTAGCAATTTAAGTATGGGTACTATTCTTCGAGAAAGGTACTTCAAGTGTATCTGGTTAGTTTTACCAATCATGGCGAAATGTTGAAGATGACTTAATGTATACATTAGCGCACAGTTGCATAATTACGTTGAGTTTTATTTCTAATATGATCATTTATCATGCATTAGAAAACAAATAAGATTGAAAAATCCCGTGATTTTAACAATAAGATTTGCAGGTAGATACAACATAAATGAAACTGGTTTACTGTAATGAGTTTTGTTCCATCCCAGGTAATCTATGATTTAAAATCATGTCGATCCTGCAAATTCCAACTAGTCAAACTGCACATATCGACACGACTCAGTCCAGTTTTCTGTTTGACTGTCTCTGGCTTCCATCTGGTATAGACCATTCATCATTGTGCATTTAAGTCGATGTATAATAAGTGTCCAAACCATCTAACGACAAAATTTTATGACATCGCAATTATCGTAGCCAGCAGTTGGAGACAGTGATACTGGTCAGAATAGGCCGCAATGTCATAGATACATTCACTCCTTGTGTTCTCTTAAATCCTGAGTTTTGAAATCATATACGTTTTATTCCCATGAATTTATTCTCGCATCGCCTATATTTAGTGCTCCCCACTTCCACTGATACTATTATTACCATGGAATGCCTTGATAATTTCATCCCTCTTTACTGATTTAGGGTGACAACTTATGCTGAAACACATGTGCCAGGCTCCGCTATATTCCACTGAGTAACATCGCGTCGTTAATATGTTTACAATGCATACCTCAAATTCATACCGCCCAATGAAACTCTTAGACTTTACTTCCTACATATTCTACATTTTATTTCATGAATTTGCTGGACATTTGTTAGTATTGACTATACAATCACGATGTGATTGATGATTATAAAGATGAGAGACATTCTGTTTCTTTTATAGATAACATGACGCTCTTATATGAAATTAAGGTCTTAAATAGGTATGCGAATCCTTTTCAACTTATTCAATAATAAGTCTAGATATTTCAAACCGCCCTTAAGCTAAAAAGTACTTGTAAGTTGCTAATCTTCTGAATGCATTATGGAGAGTGATGATGACATAGCTCTTAAAATGTTTCGAAGAATATGAATTATTGCTAGAATTTCATATTCTATCAAGCAGTATCATACCAAGATTAAGCATCACAAAGTTAGGGAAAAGAGCGTATGCGAAATTATAATTGAAAGCCTCTTTTTCACTTGTAAGATATATTGTTCGTCGAGTAAAGTAGACAAGTGAGAAATATATTTAGTGGGTTTTATTTGGAACTGGTCGTTTAAATTTTTGTGACTCAGAAGTCTTATTCGCTCCAGTACGTAGGCAGTGTCTCAATTTCACTCGAATTCGATTTGTATTTTGAGTGCTTCATGTAGCTGTTAAATTCACTTATTTCTCGAAGACGTGTTACCTGATGAAGGAATCAAACTATGCAATATGGAAGTGATATGTCAAATGTATTTGTAGATGACACAAGTGTTGTCACAGCTTGGATTCGGAGGGCTCGACTAACCTTCGCCAACGTGCATCACTTGTCACTTAGGTTAGATACCTATCTACCAACAACAAGATGAGTTTACTGTTCATCAATTCTCTTTGTTCTATATAATGGATGTGAAACATGGTTATTAAAAATAGAGAATATTTGTAGATACTTGTTTTCGATCATATATGTCTTTGGAGCATAGCCTGTGTATTTTCGGATCACCGAGTGAGTAATGTCAAGGTCAGGCTTAAAGTACGATGTAAATATGGAAAATCGATCGGTAAGGCAGTGAATCCTCAACTGAGGTGATTGGGAAATGTGTATACTTGGTCATCACTTACCACGATAAGCGATCTTCTGTAGAAGCAGGTTGGAAGAAAGCTCGTGCCATCAATCCACGAAGGCTTCGACAGTTGGACTGAATCGTGTAGATGGTTGACGGGTTCATGATCTCAATGAAATTCAACAATCTTCAAAACGTCATACGAAAAATTATCATGCCCTCACCAGTGAGTATCTTCAAGAGGGAATTTCTGGAGTTCTAGTGAGAAGCGTGACCAATGGAGCTAAACTGTCGTGTGTGAGGCATTTACCCACCGAAGACAATGGGAGATGATTGCGCAATATCGTGGATTGGTTGAGATTAGACATTAACACTATTGGATGTCGGCTCAGTGGTCTAGGGGTTAAGTGCTTGAGCGGAACCGAAGGCCCTGTGTTTGAGTCCCGCCTGCAGTATCGTGGGTGTGCAATGTTGAGGAGTCTCGTCCTAGAACGAAACTGCCGTTTAGTACTTCCAGGTTTCCTATATTGGTCTGTCATTGGTCAGTTCATGGTCCCAATGATATTCGTCATTTCTTCTTTCGCGCCTGTTGCCTTCCATAATGGTCAGAAACTACATCGACTAAGGTGACTTGGTAGTATTCTTTTAACATACGATGAGTCCCCCTTATGATTATCCCCACTATTCTGATGAACTTAGAAGTCATAGACCGGCTAGGACTGAATTGATTGCCACGTGTTATCAGTCCGTAAAGCTACTTGTTTTGGCTATTAATTGAAGTCAGATATTGTTTATTTGAAATTGAAAATGTTATCATTTGTATTCTTCTGAAATCTCAATATCCTTTTCTTTTATGTCTGAGCGTGTTTATCTTCTTCATTTTAATATATATTTGTACTTTATCATTTTAAATAGTGGATCGGCTTGAACTAGTACATGCCAGTACGCTTTTCGTAATTACTGTCTCTTCCCCTTTCTTTAGGATTGCTCAACTAATAATATGTAGTGCAGAATTGTATCAAATTGATAACCTTTTGTCTAATAACTTTTTATTTGATTGATTTAAGTGTTTAATAACTACCTGTCAATCACATAGAAAGTTATATTTGACACCATTTTTTCTATAATGTCGATTGGTTATATCATTTACTTATTTATTTATTTTTACACATAGATATTGGTACAAAGA